AAGGTCATAGAAAATAGCTTCAGGGGTGCCTGGCTGGCTCAGCTGGAGCAAGCGACTCTTGACCTTGGGGTCGTGAGTTCAAGCCCTATGTTGGATGTGGAGATTACTAACAGAAACTTGAAAAAAAGAAAAAAGAAAAAGGAAAATAGCTTCAAAGTGCTTAGGAGAAAAATAATAATGAACTCAGAATTGTATACTAAGAAAAAGTGTAATTCAAAAGTAAGGACAAGGTACCTGGGTGGCTCAGTTAGTTAAGTATCCGACTCTTGATTTCAGTTTCAGGCCACGATCTCACTGTTCACCAGATCCAGCCCCACACCAGGCTCCGTGCACTGACAGTGCAGAGCCTGCTTGGGATTCTCTCTCTCTCCCTCTCTCTTTCTGCCCCTCGCATACTCACTCGCTCGCTCGCGCTCTCTCTCAAAATAAATAAATAAACATTTAAAAAACAAGGAAAAAAACCGAAAGGACAAAATGAAGACATTTTTAGAAATAAAAAGACTGAAAGAAGTTGTGTGAAAGGTGAAATGAAATGGGTTCACTTATATCCAGGGGTTTTAAAATGGAGCCGGGAGGCCATTAAGGAGGTGGGCCTTCTGCACATCCTCACTGGCAGAAGCATGAACTTTAGAAATGGGCCAGACCCAAACACTCTAAGGACTCAGCCTGAACACCTGCAACTTGTTATAGGAATGCTCCTTTGCCTAGTGATCGCCTTAGCAACCAATTACAGTCAGCCCAAGATTAGTTTCATGCCACCAACACCAATCACAAACCTTTGTAAACAACAGATAAAAGCATTCCCCTTTACCTTTAAAAATCTTTCACTTTTGTTCCCTGAGGGGACACAATTTCGGTTGCTGCCCAAATCTGTGCTCCCCAAATTGCAATTCTAAGACGCCAAATAAATGCTTTTACTTTAGCTCTGCCTGTGTTCTCAGTCAACAATTGCTACAAACAAAACCTTACAATATTTGTTTTGGTTAGAAGAAAAACCCTAAATGAAAAACATTTTTTTTTCTTCCTGCAAGTATCTTTCAACAATGTGTCAACAGGGAGGTTGGATGGGGCTCAAAACTTTCCCCAGGTTTCTTACAATCCCCCTTTAACCCTTTCTTTCCCAGTGGCAATTACCCCACCTTGTCCTGTCTGTTCTCTAGGAACTACGCTCTGTCGTTGGTTGGCTCAGCGGGGACAAGAGCCCTGACTGGTGTACCCCAAAGTCAGGAGCAGGATCCAGGTGTTTCTCCTCTCTTTAGCCAATATCTTCTTGGTTTACACCATGGCCTCTTTGCTATGCTTGCTACTCCTTAAATGTTTTTCAGAGTTTTATCCATGCCCCTCTTCTCTTCCTCAATATTGTATCTTAATGTGCAAACGTTAGAAACACCTAAGCACATATTAAAATGCAGAGTCTTGCTTCTAGCCCCAAATATACTGAATCAGAATGAAGAAGAGTAACCCCTGTAAAAACTCCTGCCAAACAAGAAAGAACTGAGGCTGCAAAGCAAACCAAAAGTTTATTTGGGGTCCTTAGGAATTCGAATACCAGAGGCACAGATTCGGTAGGAGCCTGAAATGTGCTCCGAGGAAGGAAGAGAAAGACAAAGTTTATAGAAGCAAAAACCGCAGGTTATGTAAATTGTATTGAAAGAATTATGATTGGCATAGGCAAAAATAATTAGCGTTGGTCTATATACGATAGGTTGATTACTGTGCTAGTTGCTAGGTTGTAGTAAAGAAAACTAAGCCTCATTCTGAGAATTCCAACAGCCTGTGGCAGTTTGTGACTGGCACAGTCTAAAAGTTCATGTTCCTCCCCAGGTGTGGATGTGCATAAAACCAGCCTCCCCAGTGGCCTCCCAACTCCGTTTTAGGGCCCCCTGACATTCCTACTTCATTTCAAATGTTTCTGTTCACACTCTGCAGTTTTAGCAGGCAGCTAGGATCATTCTACTGCATACTAGAGTTTGAGAACCAGTGCTTTTATAAGCTTTCCCTAAGCATTATCCTGTACAGCTTTGTTTTTGACTCCTAATGATTCACCAATAAGTCACAAAACTTATATCAGCATCAAACCCATGTTCTAAGTTCCATATGAATATATCCATCTGCTAACTGGCCATTTCAGTATACATATCCTATATTTACCTAAAGTAATGCATCCAAATTTGAATCCATTTTCTTACCCCTTCATTCCATATAGTCCCTGAGGTAAGAATGTGAGTTACTTCAAGCTCCTGTGTTCCCACCTACACTTGTTCCCACATTTTCTACCACTCCCCAAATCATTTAGCCTCACCACCAACCACTGCTTGTCCCTGGGTATGCTATGTTCTGTCACATCTGTCTGCTTCGGCGCATGTTCCTTCTCCCAGTCTGGGGTCATACTCCCCTTTCATACCTGGGAGACTCCAACTCCATATGGAACATCTTCCTTGAGGCCTTTTCTCACTCCATCGACAGGGCCTTACCTCTGTGTTTTTACAAGATCTCAGTCACAGCACCTTCCATATGGTCTGGAAACTACCTGCTCACACCTGTCTTCTCCATTAGTGAGGGGGCACTTGCACCAAAGGTCTGATTAGGGCTCGTTTGTTTTTAAATCAAGGTTGAGCACAGACCCTAGCTTGGAGAAATACTTAGCACCTGCTTTATTAAGTAAAGTCATAAACACATGAGTAAATTAACAGATCTTTGACCAAGGTTCAAAGATTCTACAATGATAAATCAGCGTATGTATTTCTTATTTTTATTTTTTTAAATTATTTTGAGAGAGAGAGAGCACGCGCACAAGTGGGGGAGGGGCAGAGACAGAGGGAGAGAGAGGAATCCCAAGCAGGGTCCACACTGTGAGCACAGAGCCCTGAGTGGGGCTCAAACTCACAAACCACGAGATCATGACCTGAGCCGAAGTCCGACGCTCAACCGACTGAGCCACCCAGGTGCCCCAGCATTATGTACTTTTTAAAACATGGGGCGCCTGGGTGGCTCAGTCGGTTGAGCGTCCGACTTCGGCTCAGGTCATGATCTCATGGCTGGTGACTTCGGACCCCATGTCGGGCTCTGTGCTGACAGCTCAGAGCTTGGAGCCTGCTTCAAATTTTGTGTGTCCCTCTCTCTCTGCTCCTCCCCCACTCATGCCATGTCTCTCTCTCTCTCTCCTTCAAAAATAAATTAAAAAACATTAAAAAAAATTTAAATGTGCAGTGTCAGCACACATGGAACCTTTAGATTCCAGAAAAATCTTATCTTTCATTCTATAGGAAATTCACTTGCTAAAGAGCAAATCAAAGTCCCCAAATAGGAAACTCCAGGTAAAACCTCCTACTGCCTTTTTAGACTCCTTTTTCAATACAAAGCCACAAATGTCGGCACACTATAGTATGTTACTTGTCCTCTAGAGATAAGGAAGAAGTTTGTGGATATTGTTAGACTTCTTTCTGGTTATTCACTCTATTCCCCATGTAACTGCTCTAGTCTCTGAATTAATGTGATGCCTTTTGGTCTTAGGAACCATTGATAGTCACAAGTGCTGGACTAAGAAATGGTGGAAAGTGTACAGTGTGACAGTTTCAAATTATTGGAGCACTTCAGATAGGAGAGCAGTTGTGATTCTTGGAAGGATCAATATGAGAAGGTTTCAGATTATGTAAATATAATGCATTACCATAAACACCAAAATATAACAGCACTTAGATCTCTACATACATTCATGGCAAATATGATTTTACTTTCCTAAGGATTTGGAGAGGTTTTATAAAGGCTTTGTGAGAAATACACTCAGAGACTGACCAAACCCCTCCTCCCACATACGGTATGGCAGAAGAAAGGACAGACAAATAATCTATGACTCTATACTCAAAGAAACATGTTTAGAGAGCCAGAGAACAATAGAGGCTTTTGAAGACTCATAGAATTTTAGCTTTTGTCCTTTTTTGGGGAAGAAAAATCTGGGACACATGGGCCTCTACTCTCCTCTACTTGAGTATCTGCAGACAAGACTAATGGATTGAATAGACGTTTCCCTAGAATTCCACTTAACGCCATGTGAAGAAATTATAATCAGTCCATTTACAGTGATTCCTAAAGGCCATTTCTGACCTAGTACAGGGTTGCCGAATTTTTCTATAAAGTACCAGAGAGTAAATATTTTAAACTTTGTAGCTTTATGGTTTCTGTCCATTGAACCTTGCTGTTAGAGCACAAAAGCAGGCACAGACAATACACAAAGAAATGACTGTGGCTATGTTTCCGTAAAACTTTATTTATAGACAATAAAATTTGAATTTTATGCAGTTTTCTTGTGTTACTTAATATTCTTCTATTAATTTTTTCAACTTTAAAAATGCAAAAGTCTCTTATTTGTTAGTAGGGGTATAAAAAGAAGTGGCAGACTAGATCTATGGTTTGCAAATTCTTGTCCTAGTATAGTTCTTTTGTTCTGCACGTAAGAAAATAGGCCACAAAAAGGGGAAGCGATTTGCTTAAAATCATATGAATGACTAATTCGTGGCAGAACCAGTCATTTTGTGCCAAAGTGTCTTAAAGATGGTCCGTATTTGCTGTTTTTTATTATATTTTTCTGACTGACAACTACCGAGCAAAATGCTCTGTTTTATTTGAGAAAATGAATTTTCTCCAGGATCATTTTGAAATATATCTATATTGTTTAAAGACTCACTGTAGAAGCATATGGACTACATATACTTATGTGCATGGATTTCTAAGCTGAAATCATTTTTCTTTTGCTACAAATGTACTCTGTAACTTAAAAGGGAACCAATCCCAATAATTTGCAACCAGTCTATTTTCAAAGATACACATAACAGAAATCAGGTATAACATATTCAGAGAATAGATTTAGTCAGTTTAAAAAGTAGAGAAGGCCTATTATAATTGAAACGTTACTCCTTAGAAATACTCCAGAAGACGAAAGAACAATCATGAAAATATGTTCAATTCTACTGAAGCTCAAGAAATATTTTGGGAAAAAGTATTTATTTATTCTTCAACATCAAAGGCGCACCCTTGATGGTAGAGGACACCCCTGTCCTTATGAGTTTAGCATTTTCACGGATAAAATTGTGCTGACCAACTGGCCGTCTATCAAACATCTTGTTAGTAGTGTCAACTTTGGCTTTGACATTCATCGGTGGCTTGGTAACTTGAGGTAACCCATTGATGTCATACAACCAGTACATGTCCGGTGTCTGGAAACAAAGAGAGGAGAAATTTCACATGAAATATTCAAGGATTGAGAGAATACCTTCTCTCTTCTCCATGCAAGGTATGGGAAAGGTACAAAACTGAAAGTGTGCCGATAATAGATAATTAACATGGAAAATAAATTCAGGAAAGCATTTGGTTTTATGAATTAAGAACCACGGGGCACCTGGGTGACCAGCTGGTTAAGCATCCAACTCTTGATTCCGGCTCAGGTCACAATTTCATGGTTTGTAGGATCGAGCCTTGCATCGGGCTCTGTGCTGTCAGTGCAAAGCCTGCTTCGGATTCTCTCTCCCCCTCTCTATGCCCTTCTCCTCCTCCCTCTCAAAATAAATAAACATTAAAAAAAAAAAAAAAAAAGAACCACTCACTAAAAGGTCCCTCAGAGATAGAGGTCTGCACCAAGGGTGAACTCAGCATCCATATGATCTAAGGGGAAGCAGTCTATTTTCTTTGCATGAAACTGTTGCCCAGCATGAACTACACAACTAATGGAAACCATGCCTTCCAAGATGAACTTATCCATGAGAATTTAACTGTGGCTATAGAACGGACTGGTAAAATATGTCGAGCTTCTGTTTTTTTAGATTATGAAAGTCTATAAATAATACAACCATTTGAAATTACTGAGCATTGTATAAAATCATTAATGACAGTCATAATCTAAATCCAAGTTAGTACCACTTAGGGATTTCTTTAAAGATCCATCGTTTTTGGTTTTTTTTCTGTATATATGCACAGGACGGCAGAAGTGAATTACAAAGCCTAGCATTTTCTGCATGTTTATATTCATACTTAAATCCCACTGCTCTTGCAGAATTTCCTGATGCTGTGTTTATCTAGGCCTTCTTCCCCACGATAAGATTAGGATCACGTGTGTTCCGAAAACTCATTCAGGATAAATCCAGGCTAAGTGCATATTGCAATAACATGAGTCAGGGTGTAAGGGGTAATGTGATATCCATCGAAGAATGTTAAGTGCAGGATTTTCTTGCACACCTGGAATGCCCCTATTTTAGTCGTTAACTGGCTCTTCCATCCAGTGCTCATAGTAATTGTGTATTCAGAATCAAAGAGGTAAAAGCGGAACCAAAAACTATACTATAACTGGGTTAAATAACATTTTCCTTCACATAAGGATGTTAGATTGGTGTAAAAACACCCCCAACTCTCTAGCCCCATTGATGTAAACAGTCTACAGTGTGTCTTCCATACTATTTTCCAGAGAAATTCTGTAAGATGAAATTCCAGTTGCCCACTATGGTAATTGACTTGATAAAGCACTCTTTATTTGTTTTTATTCCTTTTCTGTCTCACATCTTGGCTTCCCTGCATCTGTTTCTTTAGATCACATAGCAAATGTGCTACTTGGATTTGAATCCTTATTTTGGATTTTTGCTTAAGAGGAAATACAAACCAAGATATATATTATATACATATTATATATATATATATATATA